GCCCTTGTGAAATTGAAAAACAAACAAACAAACTTAGTTGTGTTCATTACACTTGTCTGTTTCTAATGCTCTTTGTACATTCATCAAACATCTTGTTATGTGTGGGTCAAGGTTACTTGTGTGCCATTATTACTCTAAACCATACTTGTATACATGAATCTGAATTGTAATTCTGTTTGAGAAGCCTGATTTAGTTTTCTAGGTTAGTGAGATCTCTTCACTTGTTGGTTTTTATTCCTGATTTAAACACTTTATTTTCAAGCCTTTTTAGAGAGAAGTGTGAACCAGTTCATGACTGTTCAAAATGGTACAGTTGATTTTTATTTTCAGATTCTTTGTGTTTCTAATAGAAGTGATAGTTATCTCACTGCGTTCTTTTATCCTATTTCCACTCACAGCAGTGTTGTGCACAGGGGGTGGATGAGTGGGCTAAAGCCACTGCCTTGCTGCCCTTATGCCTAAAAAGTGCCCTTTTTTTCTTTCTGTCAGAAAAATTGTCAACAATTACCAAAAGATACACGTGATTCCACACCTTGACTGCTGTGAGTTATTAGGAAAAAAAAAAAGAGTTCAGCTTTAAAATTAATGTTACACAGGAACTTGTAGGATTTGACAGAAAAAAAATAATTGTAATATGCTGTTAAATGTCAGTACAGAAAAATTTACTGTTTAGTTTTACATCATAAAAGTGGTTATAAGACAAATTTAGTGGGAATTTAAGAGGACCTGTTTGATTCTATGGCTTTTTACCTTAAGTGTACTAGAAGCAGTCCACAGTCCCCATAGTCTCATATAATATCAGTCAGTAATGTGCAAAGTACTTTAAAAAGGACATGGGAGCTCATTGATATATATAAAAAAGGCATTTTTCAGGCAACTTAAGGCAAGTTTATTTGTTTGTTGTTGTTGTTGTTGGGGGGGGGGGGTCCACATATCACTACTTTCTCCCCCCTGTTTAATGACTGGTACTGTATAACCTATAATTTCTTCCTTGTGTGGCAACATGATTATCATACATTTAAACTCTCTGTTGCGATAATCCTAATCCAAACAGCTTCAGCATACATGTTTCTCATGTACAATTTGACCCCATGCGTAATGAATTAAATCTTGTCACTTTTTCCATCAAATCTCACTTGTATCAATAAATGGGCAGGAACTACATGTTAGAGGAAAGAATTTATTTAAATTTAATTTAAAGATCAATATACTAGTTTTATATTACAAAACTAACATTAGCATGCTTTGTCACACATACACATATCACACACCTACATGTGTCTGTGTGTTTAATGACTGGTACTGTATAACCTAGGGGGGAGAAAGTAGTGATATGTGGTTAATGAAAATAACCACCAGACCTGTATTTATTTTACATTTTCTAAGAGAATAACTAAAACATTATGGTATGGGTAATTAACCAGTTGAACCTTATTTTAAGGTGACTGGTCTTCTAATATACATTTCCAGGTAAGGTTGATAATCTTTCAGGTACTGTACTTATACTAGATAGAGAGAGGTAGTCTAGATTTGTTTATTTGCTAACAATATATATATATATATACAACCCCCAGGGAGTTAACCTGAGTGGAGGACAGAAACAGAGAGTTAGTTTGGCACGTGCTGTGTATCAAGATAAAGACATTTATCTGTTTGATGACCCCCTTAGTGCTGTTGACTCTCATGTAGCAAAACATATTTTTCAACACGTGATTGGACCTAAAGGGATTCTTAAGGCAAAGGTAAGATTATAGTTAGTTAAATGTTGAAATAATATTTGTGTGCAGGTAGTAAGAGAAACGTGTGGAATAAGTTGTGTTTTATGTAGTGATATCTGTTATCCTGGGTATAATAATTCAGTTGTGTGGTTATGATAATTAATGTTTAACATGATTAATAGATATAATGAAACTAAACTGGGGTTTCCCACTTTATACGATTTAATCTACCACACCAATTGTAATATCACAACTGAAAACTCTTTTTCTTGATCTGAAAATCATTTTATTCTTTTCTAGACCCGTGTTCTGGTTACCCATAATTTATCAGTACTTCCTGAAGTAGATTTTATTGTGGTTCTTAAAGATGGCTGTGTGCTTGAGTCTGGAAGTTATACAGAACTGCTATCAAAAGAAGGTTCTTTTGCTGAGTTTGTGAAAGACCATAGTAATACACAAGATGAGAACAGTTCCTCTGATGAAGGTGAACATGAATCATTAGTAAGGTAC